GGACTTCAGCACGCTGGCAGGCGTGTGCCGGCACTTTGTCGAGTGGCGTCGCATTGACGCGCAGGCGTACCGCGACGCCTACGTCAGCCTGTCGCTGCCGCGCGCCCTGGCGCCGCTCGTGCGCCTGCAGATGCTTGCCTGGAACCCGCTGGCCGAGGGGGTACGCGTCCGCGCCGCCCGCGGGGGCGGCCGCCGTGCGGCGCTCACGGGTCCGCCACCTGCTGAATGCTCGGACCCGGCTGGTCCGGTGATGCTTTTCGCGGAGTTAGCCCCATGTAATGGTGCTGTTACCCGGAGATAACGTTCCTGGCTGTACTACTCGGTAGGGCACCTGATAATTATGTGCATTTGCATTTTTGTTTGTGGCGCGTTCGAGAACATCCATAAGTCTCGTAAGTCCCAGTTGTCCACATGACAGTTCAAGGCTACGGATGGTTGATAATATTGGGTAGGCAAAGCTTAGGTCATAGTGGCTACGCTGGTAACCGAGCGAACGCGCGGCGGGTGACCCGTACGGCCGTCCACGCTCAGCAGGAGTGTCCGGAGCTGGGGTCATGCCTGGATCGACGGGCTGGCGATGACTCTATGCTGGTGGTGACATCGGCAGGAATGTCCGGAGGCTGGAGAGTCACGCCTGGTTTGCCGAGCTGGTGGTGTTCGGCGCCGACCGTGCAGCTGACTCCGAGGAGGCGCTGCGCGACGACCCCGACTGTCTGCTGGTGTCGCGCGTGCTCGAGCGCGTCGTTCTGCCCAAGATGACCGGTACGTGACCGGCCGCGCCGAACGGCCCTCGCCTGGCTGAGCTGGTTTGGACAGTCGCCGGCGGTGGGTTCGGCCGAGGGCCGGTAGCCGTGAGGACGGGGGCCAGCTGGCAGGGCAAGAACGGATGAAGTGTTTGCACCATCGCGTGTGATCTTTCGATACGTGAGCCAAGCTGCGTTGTACCCTGAACCAGCCAGCTTTGGGTTCATAGTTTGAAGTCTGAGCCTGAGCGTTCTTTCGCCAAGTTGAGTAGGAAAAAAGTCGAGTTGACCATTAGCGCTCTTTGCAAAAAAAAGAAGTTTTGATGACACGCCGGGTTATGCTGGCGCGATCGGTGGTAGCAGCATGTCCGACAATTATTGTGTAGGTAGCGCATTTATAACCCATTTCAGTTCAGCATATGCAGACCACGCGTGCGAAGCGCCGTCTCTAACGTGGTTGTCTGCGCCGCAGCGCTGGTGGACCAGGTGTGGGACCCGATGTCGAACGCCCAGACGCTGCGGCTGGTGCAGCCCTGGTGCGCCAGCTAGTGCGGGACTATCCGACTGTGAGCGGCACCAGCGGCCAGCTGCGCCGACTCCTGCAGGCCGTCGTCACCGCCTTCAAGGCCAGCATCAAGGACGACGTCTTCGTGCCGCGCTTCCCCAAACAGTCAGTGCGGCTGGCTGCGTGCCCGCCTCCCCAAGCAGTCGGTACCGCGGGCTGGGTCGAGACCCACGTTATCTCCGTTGATCACCAGTCAGTTTCAGACATATGCGCGGATTCTGGGAATGAATCCTGAATGCCATGAATCTTCGGACCAAGCTGTACTGGGATCGTGGACCCTGGGAGATCATTCACAAAACTTCGACGTGGTCCCCATCGCAGATCACAGGAGAGAAAAACCTTGGGGCGCTGGTCCATGGACAAAGTATGGATACCCATTGGACGTGTCAGGTTCACGTGCCACGCGTCGCACTACTTCGAATGCGGGGCTTGGGACCACGGCCGCAGTACAGGATAGCGCCTCGATTGCACCGAACTGTAGAGCTGCTCTCGCCAACCGTAGCTTCAGCTTTCAAGTCGAACTTTCGGGCTAGCATGGAAAGCATTCCATTGGTTGTGTGCTATTTTCGAAGTTATGGAGCACCTGTGGTTGGCCGTATGCCAGTTGTCGTGGATCGCGTCCGTCCGCCCGGCTGCGTTGGTGACCGCGGTGCTGCAGCAGCAGTGGACTTGGCTGAGCTGTGCCCACTGCTGCTGCTGCTGCTGCTGCTGCTGGGGCGCCGCCGGCCCCGTGTGCCCCGCTGCGCGCCTGCAACGCGCCGTCTTCCGCCGCCGGCAGGGTGCTAGAGAGCCGCTCCACGCCGGCCGCCGCCTCTTCTACCGCCAGTTCACCAGCTGCGTCAAGCTGCTGGGCAACATGCTGAGCTGGACGGAGCTGCTGGCGACGCGTGCCTGCAGCAACTGGCGCTGGGCGATCTGCTCAATGACAGCATGCTGCTGCCGCTGACAGCTGGTGCCCGACCCGGTCGAGGCCGTCAACAAGTGCAAACTGGTGAGGCGCGCGTCCGGCGTCCACGCCTCACACCTCGCCGGCGGCGGCTGACATACGAGCGGGGCAGAGGCACCGTCTGTCGAGCCGCTGTGGATGCGCGGGGTGTGGTGCCGCCGTTCATGTGCTGGCCAGGTCTGCCGGCCGCTACTCAGTCGCGCGGCATGGCCGCTTGAGTGTGAGCAGTACGTGGGAGTGTCCGCTTATCGGCCCGACCTGTGTGTGGTGGATGAGCCCGTTCACGTTCATATCGGCGCGCCCGTGCCGGGGTCGTCAGGCGCCTCCGGTCGGTTTCTGCGGAGCTGACGGGCAGCCGGGCTGGCACATGGCTGACGGTGCCCTCTGACCGGCAGGTGGCCAGCGCGCTGCCCCGCGCCTGGTTCCAGGGCGACGCCTCCCTGCCGCAGCTCAACATGTTCGTCAGCTACCTGACCATGCTGGCCGTCCAGCTGAACAAGACGGCCAGCAAAACGTGAGTGGGGAGACGTATGGTTTGAGGACATTGCTTTGAATTCCGTGCAAAAACATCGTTTTGCCCTGCCCACGAATGCCTTCCTGTGGATTCCATCTCAACGAGCAAAAAAGAAACTCCCTTGATCAAAACAGTCACCAGGCCATGTTCTTCTCGTTCGCCGAGTTCGTTTGTGAGCTGTTACCGTTGCGTTTACCTGTGTAGGCTCAAACCATGTGTGAGGAAGCCACCCGCAGCCTTCCTCGTCGTGGTACGTGCTAGTTCGTGCCCCGTCCACCCGGCGCCAGCCTACGGAGGCGGCGGGTGGCCCTGCTGTCGTACAGCGACGGCACGGCGACCTTACTGCGTGCTCTGACGGCGTCCTCGCCCCGCCCCGCCGCAGCACGCCGCTTGAAGGCCATCGTCGCCATACTGAAGAAGGTGGGCGCCACCGAGGCCCACAGCAAGGTGTCGGCCATGCTGGAGTGAGGGAGCGTCTGCGGTGTGCCGGCTTGGCGCCCCCCCCCCCCCCGTGTCACCGCCGGGGGAGGGTGCGTACCGCTGTCCGGTGACCGTGTGGTGCTGACCCCGCTGGAGGGCGTAGCGCCGGCTGCTGGCCGACAGTCAGCTGAATACATGTGGCGGCTAGGGGAGTGCTCCGCCATCAATCGTGACAAACAAACTGGTCGAATACATGTATATTGCCTGCCTTTGCCGATCTGTGTGACAGGGGCGGACGGAGACGTCTCGCAATGGCGGGTGAATGGACCAGTGTGCGATGACATACGAGATCACGGACAACGGGGAAACAGCTCCCTGAATTCATCAACATGGAGCAGAATCCGGTGCTATTTCTGGACGGCTGAAGCCAATATGGCTCGAACACCATGGGGCTCGCCTGCCGCCTCGAGCGGCACGAGGTGTGCACAACTTGCTCCAATATTACATTCCTAGAGTGAGTCAATACAAAATCACCGGGTTCAAAAGGCAGCGATTCGATTCCAATAAGTCACAGACAGATGAAATACCGCCACTTATAGTTGTGTCGTCGGCAGTACAGTTTACGTGCCGAAACACTCATACCTTGCGGTATTCGCTTCCTACTGAGCCTCGTGTCAAGGCCGAGGCTTGTGAGCCGGCAGCGTAAGCGGCCATCTGACGTACAAAAGTACATCGACAAGTTTGTAGACAAATGAGTATTTTAATATATATATATATATATATATATATATATATATATATATATATACGCTTGCATGTGTATGTAATCTCTGACGGTTTGACATCACAGTGACTTTTACGCCGCAAATAAGTTAACTGCTGGAAGCAAGAAAGTCCCAGGCTTTCACTTCCACACTTTCGGATCTTACGCTGCTAATGACATTTTCAATGTCGTCCAATGAAAACCTGAGTATTTCTCCGAGACCACTCGTGAGGCGACCCATCCGCGAGATTCGGAGATCACAGGATAGGCTAGGGCGTGGGGAGAGTCTCTCCCTGCGTGAAGCCGGATTCCCGGGAGCCGCGCAAGACAATCGGTTAGGACAGTCTCCCCACAGCCTCTATGCTGCCTCATGGCATACGCAAGCATACTATGCGATCTAGTGAATATGGTATGAGACAGGAGGTTGACATACAACCGTGATGCAAACGAACAATGCAATTTTCCGACGAGTGCAGAAAAGAAGCTGCGCCAGTTGTCATACCCACAGCACAGCTATGGTCATTCGGCGTGTTTCAGCACCACCACTGCACATCAAAACTGAATGTCGCAGGTGAATCGTTTACAAAGAATGCCTGGCGATCTGGTGAGTCCTACCAGCACCATCCAATTCACATAGCCGTGCCAACGTTTCATTGTGCAACACTCCATTTTGTACAGGTACATATCATGAACCGATGAGTCGGGAGTCCGTATCCTTTGTGAGCACTGCGCTAGAAAGGAGCACTGAGCACAAAATACGGCCAATATCCTACAAAAATAGCTGCGTACCCAGTCTAAAACACCGGTTTCCTATTTACTTAGTGCCTAAGCGCGTACACGCTTCCTGCCAGGAGTCGTATAGCACGACATGGTCAGAGTGGAAGCGACAGCAGTGTAGTCCAGACTTTGGACCGAGCTGCCGGCGCCAGCGGGCCGCAGCCTCACACGGGCAGCACGCGCACGGCCGCCGCGTCCAGCGCCGCCGGCTGGACGGACGGCGCCAGCGCCCGGGCCAGCATCAGCGGCAGCGCCAGCTCCAGCGCCAGGTAGAGCGCGGTCGGCAGCGGCGGCGTGCTGCCCAGTGGCCAGAGCCAGAGGCCACGCCGCTCGGCGTCTCGCACGTGGTGCGAGAGCGCGGCGGTCAGCAGCAGCGCGGCCGCCGTTCGCCAGCTGGTGCGCGCGCCGGCCGCCAGGGGCGCTGCCAGCATCAGCCAGGGCGTGGTAGCGTGCAGGGGCGGTCGCGTCGGCAGGTTCACCACGTCCTGGCGGCGGGCGGCATGCGGCCGCGTCACTGACAGGCCAGGGGCGGCCGCATGCACGGCATACAATCGCCAATGCCGATGACGTCGACGTGCCACGGCCAAATCGTCATTTCCTGGCTCTTTTACAAGCGAGCACAATCGACTGGTTTTGGCGAATAGCTTTGGACGCTTACACTTGCAAGTAATTAGACTGTAAAGACCTGATGCCCTCTGGCTAGCATGGAAATTCCAGTTCAATGAATGATTTTACTTCGACAGATTAGCTAAGTATGCCTTAATGGTTTTAACATGATGTGCAGCACATTGTCGCCAACGCATTGAGGCAGCCTGGCCCTCGTGATCAGCTGCCAATGGGCTGAGAGTTGACCCAGAAGCATTATTTCTGTGACACAAATATACATGCCTGCGGAACTGCATGACCACACCTGATAACAGCACATTGGGAGCTGACAGATGCGCACGCGAGCATGAGCGTCCAGTAAACCCACAAGCGATACCTGCCGCTCAGCAGACAGCTGGGCGAACTGATTCGCCGAGGCAGCACGGAACTCAAGCTCCTTGCGCGGCGCATCGGCCACTGCCAGAGGACGCAGAACTCACGTGGATGTCCAGGCTGCCCGCCATCAGCACATGGTCCAAGTCGATGCCGGCGCCGACGATACCGGCGGCCGCAGCCAGGCGCCAGCTGACTGCGGGCCAGCTGACGGCCGCCCAGGAGAGCAGCGCCACGACGCCGTGCGTGGCCGAGTCAAGAACGGCTCGCGGCCAGCACGGGCCGGCGGCGGCCGTCAACCGCAGCGCCAGGTCACCGAGCGCGCAGGTCATCAGCGTCAGCATCAGTGGCACCAGCGGCGTGTCCCAGCACAGTGACATCATGGCCAGGGGGACCCACACCAGCTGCAAGCCAGCACACTCTGACACACGCTGGCGATCTGGACGAGCTGCTGTGCTGTTGAGACTGCTGCAGCCGTCATCTGTAACCAGAGCAGGAAATTCACCTTCATTTTATGGTTGTCTCATGTACAAAGCTTCTACCTGAGAGTGCCAGCTTGATTGTCACCATCTGGGTATCATAGGTGTAGGAACATTTCAAAAAGTGGGGGAGGGGGGGGGGGCAAGCTCAGGGTGTACTTCAGGAACTTTTTCTGGAAAGCGAGCCTGATGACCAGGGGGGGGGGGGGTAGGGATGGAGGTTGTTACCACTCTTTATTCGGCAAACATCGATCTTTATCATGCTGCCTGCAACACAAGCTAGATAAGCTGCATGCTGGTGACAGCAGGAGGAAGAGGCTGGCCCTGATTGAGGACATGTGTACAAGCTGACTGCTAAGCCATGAACATCAGCCAGCATGAAACCAGCTTTAAAAATCACTGCTAGGGTCCAACTCAACTCTCTAAGAATGGCCAGCTTCCACTCTGCTGAGAACACTTTTCCAAAACTGCAGCACTTTTAACACCCTCCTTAATGTAACCACATATATGCATATGTATATATGTATATGTATATGTTCTTAATCATAAACATTACACTAAACCAGGGGCTGGCTATTTCATTTACCATATTATGAAAACCTCTTATGGCTAGCCACCCATGAGTGGCATGGATGGCTAGCATTTGGCAGTCTGGAGTATATCTACACCCATTTTTCCTAGAGTTTTTGTATTCCAATTTTCGCTTCTGATTGTCATGGCTGACCACTTGCCATCTTACATAGGTAACATTTCAATAAAATTGACATGATCATGCTTGATTTGTCTCATACCTGTTTCTTTATTTTTACAGAAAGGCAATTAGAAGACAAGACAAATGATGGCATCAGTCAGGTCTATAATTGCTATTTTACCTCCCATTATACACATATATTGTCTGGTGGCATGCTGTCAGTCCCATCCAAGAGCTTCTACAAACTGGAGTCCTAGCCTCTACAAATCCATTCATTGCACCAAACACCTGCACAACCCTGGTGCATTGAATCTGACACTTGTGTATGCAGAATTCAAGCTAGGAAAATTTCTGCATGTCTTAAAATTTTCTGCATGCAAAATTTGAAGCACTTTTGCATTAAATCACCTTAGCAACATCTAAATGCCCTAAAAATTGTCTCTCCACACACTGAAAACTGGGGGTGTCTGTGCAGTGACACTGGGGGTGACTGTGCCTTGATCTCTGAATGCTCAGATTTATGGTGTGCATGCATACACATGTGTGACACCTGGTGTTTGGAAAAGTTCTGTCAAAATGAGACAAGTTTAGATCACATACACAAAGCAGAATAGCAGGCACACAGGTACTCAGTATCAGAAACTTGGTTTTGGCTCCTGGCAAAGAGAATAAAAATATTAAAACCACAGCTTATAATGAGAACAAAATAATCCAAGTAAAGTGGCACAGCATTCACAGCTGGCACTAAAGGATGTTTTTTGGCAGCAAATGACAGTTAAGTTTACCATGTTTACTTAGTGAGTAAACATCATGCTCTAGCAGGTCCCAGTGATTGCAAATAAATTACAAAAAACATTACAAATTGACTGCTTGCATTTCTTTAATTTTCTAGCTTCCTTAGTGCTTCCTTCCTGAGCCTGATGGAAGCAGATGCTTAAAATGTTGTGCACCTGTTGCACCATTTTCTGGGGCACATAATGCTCAGTTTATGATCCAAATGCCACGCAAGTGACAATATAAATAGGAGCATCTGGGGCATGGTAGTTAATGAATCTACATTCTAGCCAAGGTACAATCTTTCCCACCCAGAGGAAAGATTCTGGGGCAATGCAATACCCCCCTGGGCTTTTACTCACCTAGATGTACTTAATTTCGGAACAAGTGTGTAGTTCCCTATTTAGCTGGATAGCATGCTAGCCCCTCCACAACTTTGAGAACAAACTTGGTCAAAATCAGGCAGAACAGGGTTTGCACCGTTTCTTTGGGACAAAATATTTCTCTGCTCATCCGCTCCACAAAGTTATGTACAAAGCTGCACCACCTGGAACGTCCGGCTGCTACGTGATCGGGGCTCGTACGCCAACGCAGCAGGGGCGTAGGAATTATTTCCTCCTCACAGAGCAATACAGCCGCATAAAGTTAGCATCACTACATCTACTCACCGGCGTTGAGTCTGCTACAATACTTTTCTCAGTGTATGACATCGAGCTAAATTCATATATTGCATTTATATACACCACCACTCATCCCGCGCCACCACCGCTCATCGCGCGGCTCCTCCAAAACAATCCCAGTACGCCACATAAATGGCGCGCACTCAATAACAGTCTTCAACAACAGGGCCGCTGTAGGTTATTTATCGGCTTTGATGTTACTTTTTAGAACCTTATTGATTTGTAAAAGATATTGGTTTGCAAAAAAACGGCTCAGATAAACGGTAGATCTCAAAAGACGTAAATATTTAAATAAATATACTAGTAAAAGTTATGCTCAACGGAGGACAAGAAACCCTACTTTAGCTTTATGCTCAGATCATGATTGTGTGGCGAAGCCCTGTAGATAGAAAGAAAAAAATTCATGCTTTTGTTTAGTGACCCTTTTATGCATTTTCATCACGTATTCAGCTCGGATTTCTTGGTCGAGAATATGCCTTCTCTCCAATGTTAAATCCTCCCCAAGGGTCGGAGGCTCGCGGAACCATGGTTTTCCGCGTGCCCGAGCGAGTGTTTGGGATGGTGCTTGACGTCACCATTAAACGTTCTATACAATACCGATTTTTGATAGCTTCAAATGCAATGTCAATAAAAGTGTTGGTTGAAACGAATACAGAATAATTTACTTACCGATATACGATTCACTCACCTTATATTCAGAGGTGTACGTGGTGTGGCACCACATACTTGCGTATCAATTTTTCTTGTGTTTTAATGATTTCTACGTGCAACCCAGAAACGTTGAATCGTGCCGTGTACGAGATATTCTCTGCACTTCTCCCTGGTCCGTCAAGCGACTCTGTTATTGGTTTGGGTGCGGGCCTGGGCCCGATGTATGAGGGTGTCGGTGTCGTTATTGGACGGTAGGTGGGTTAAACATGTGTTAGTGAGCAGCAGCGGGCCTGGACACTGAATGCATTGCAAGAAAAGGTTATGTGTGATATGGTAGAGAGATTCGGCTGTAACCCGCAAGCAGTATACGTCATTCAGTCGTGAGGGTGGCGCATAGTGCTGTTGAAATTGCAGGAACAGCTTGCCTCCATCGCTCACACAGAACAATTTTTACATTCTTTCTAGTATATATTTGTGGAGAACAAAATGTCGTGGGGCTAAAAACAACAAGAAACACCCAAGTTTCAGACACTGCAGGTACTCATTAGCCTCTGACAAACCAGCACAGTTTATGGAAAAAAAATACTTAAACAGGAGTTGGGCGAAGCGATGCATACCAACTGCATCAACTTCTCTCCAGAGCCTATCAAGACCCGAAAGCCTAACGCACTCGCGCTCCAAGGACCAAAATGTTACTTACCCCAAAAGCGATCCTCTGTTTTCGACTTTCATCCTTGCAGGGCTTGAAATAAAAGCTAACAAAAAAAAAACTACTACTACCATATGAAGTAACGGGATCTACTGTGTTCTAAAGGATCAGAGAACATTGTCAGTTTTTGTTTTGTTTTATGTAGTGACTGCTTGTCTCGAGACCGTGGGACCTGAATGCCAGTCCCAGGGCCATGGTTCCCTAGCTACTGGTCCGGCGGACCGTCATCCAGGAATGTAAGCAGGGGGCTAGAATCGCTCTTGAACTAGGGTGGAAGTGAAAAATTCCACCACAAAAGGCCGTGCGGGAGTGAAAAAGCAATTCACCAAAGATGGAACTTATGAGCTCGTGACTGATGCTTCAGCAAGCAAAGACATCTAATTCAAGTTGGCATGGACGTAATATCAGAAACCTGACGAAACTGTTCTGCTTTTTAACATCTTGGGCCATTCAAGCGAAACGGAATACAATACAGCATAGTAATTTCATGACTGTGTAATGGGCATACAAAATTATTTACACCAATAATTTGATGCTGCACTTAAGACTGATACTTCTCTGGCAAAATTGTGTAATCAGCTGATTTGGCTTAAGATCTGTTAACATGAGTGCTTAAATGGTGATATTCATCTTGTAAAGGTAATTTAGAAGACATTTCTTCAATTTTTCTCTCCTGCATTTCGGGAGTGATACAATTTAGTGGCCAAGTTTCTTTGGGAAAAATATGTGGAGTAAAATTCTCTACCAGGCCTTGCTGGTGTTTGCAGCAGACTCTGCTTTCGTGGTGTGGTGGTGAGACCAAAAAAATAGGGGATGCGTGGAAAACCTTGTATTTGGCACACAGCTGCCGATTGTGATGCATTTTGTAAACAACCTAGACTTAAGGCGTGCAAGCGGCTGGAGTCGCTGGGGTTCTTGGGCTTAGAGGTACCTGGCGCACTTGCTCTGTGCATACATAAACATGATTCAAATGTAGGTGAAGCAGGACATAGCCATAGGTGTCCAGGTTCTGTAGAGCCTCGTTTATGCTTGGTGGTTTTAAGTGAGCTCGGTTTTGGATGACATCTGAAAACCTCAGAAAGGGAAATAGGGGTGTGGCATGTGCGATTAGACAATGTCAGGCAGGAGTGAAAAAATGAACATAAAATATGGGGAAAAGGAGTGAAAAATTCCTCCTTATAGGGTGTTACTTTATACCCAAAGTCGGCAATTCTAGGACGCTGAATGTAAGTGCACGGAGAGAATGACGGCTACCGTCCGTCCGTTCTACCGTCTACCGTCCTGGCCCGGCGTGTTAGCATGAAGACACTAGGCACACCATTTCGGCCAGTGTACTATCCGGCCATCGTCAGGTGTTCTGGGGTCCTTCCCACCCACGACTCGGAACTTCGTCCGCGATGCTAATACCTGGTATCAATCCTGTCATAAGCCTATCATGTAAAACTAAGCACAGTTTTGCAAAAGCAAGTGGAAATCGTACAGGACCGTGTCCTCAGCCAAACGACCTTGAGCATCCCCGAAACGGTTTTTGTTCGAGCACGAGTCAGTCTTTTCCGCCAATTAGCAAAATATCAGGATCACGTCATAATTATTAATGTTGCCGACGGTTCAGGGCCGTGGTCTCCCGACTGTCGGTTCCAAAAGGTCGTGGTCTCCTTACCGCCGGTCCCAGGGCCGTGGTCCCTCGGCTGTCGGTTCCAAAAGGTCGTGGTCTCCTTACCGCCGTTCCCAGGGCCGTGGTCCCCCTGTCGCCGGTCCCAGGACCGTGGTCTCTTCACCGCCGGTTCCAGGCCCGTGGTCCCCTCACCGCCGGTCCCAGGGCCGTGGTCCCCTCACCGCCAGTTCCAGGGCCGTGGTCCCCTCACCGCCAGTCCCAGGGCCGTGGTCCCCTCACCGCCGGTCCCAGGGCTGCGGTCCCCTCACCTCCGGTCCCAGGGCCGCGGTCCCCTCACCGCCGGTCCCAGGGCCGTGATCCCCTCACCTCCGGTCCCAGGACCGTTGACCCCTCACCTCCGGTTCCAGGGCCGTGGTCCCCTCACCTCCGGTCCCAGGGCCGTGGTCCCCTCACTGCCGGTCCCAGGGCCGTGGTCCTCTCACCGCCAGTTCCGAGGCCGTGGTCCCCTCACCGCCGGTCCCAGGGCCGTGGTCCCCTTACCGCCGGTCCCAGGGCCGTGGTCCCCTCACCGCCGGTCCCAGGGCCGTGGTCCCCTCACCGCCGGTCCCAGGGCTGTGGTCCCCTCACCGCCAGTTCCGGGACCGAGCTCTCCGACTCCCGGCGCCTGACCTCCTCGGCGCGCGCGGCGACGCCACTGACTCACCGGGCGAGGGGGCCGGCCGAGGCCGACGGCGGCGCCGGCTCCAGTCGTGGTCCGCACGCGAGCGACGCGGGAGACGCGCCGCAGCGCCGACCGGGCGCCAGTGGCCGGCCCGCCCACACTGCAGATCACATGGTGGTCAGACGGGCCGACAGCATGGAGGCCCCGGCGGGCGTCACCATGAGCACGGAGAACGCGTGGGACCTGGACATCCAGGCAGCTCAGCAGTCAGGTGAGGTCGTCTGTTGTGGCTGATCGCGCCGCCCGGAGCTGCCTGCCGACCTTCGTCTGAGCAGACCGATAGACGTGGAGGAATGCTTGCCAAGACCACAGCGCTGTGTAACGTAAATGCGACTTTCCGATGACCATGTCGCTGTTTCTTTATACATTGCAGGGACGGGTCATAGTGATCTTCAGCGGCAAAAAATGGGGAGGGGATATCATGGCCGGTATCTTCCGTAAACAAAGGCTCTTGAAGCTAATGAAGCGTTCCAGTGTTTTTCTTTGACGATTTTTCCTGGTTGTTGCTACACGGTGATGCAAAACTTGACTATCCATACACGTATTTATTGGAAACATCAGCGATGGTAAAGTGAGTATTTTTTATATAAACGTCCATCTGTTAACTCTCTCAGGTACAGGTGAAGTTGGTATGGAGACTAAAACTGAAACGCAATCACGTATCAGACTTACCATCCTAGCATATTGTCATCTATTATATGTTCCATGACAACATACAACACGCCCGTATTCCTGCTTCCTGCATTACTGGGGACTGCAATTAGTCAGAACATGGGCCTCCTCTTAGTTCCGGCAGGGGCATGTTCCCAGCCTGGAACGGGGTCTCCTCTTGATTTGAAGAGGGTTTTTGTGATGAACCCTGTCTTGCGACATGCGACATCGTGACGATGTCCGTCATAATGGGGCCTTCCGCCCCACCACGGCCCCCAACCATCTGATACACACACACGCATATATATATATATATATATATATATATATATATATATATATATATGTGTGTGTGTGTGTGTGTGTGTGTGTGTGTATATTGCCCATAGCAGGGAAAGGTCTTTCTTTCGGTCATGGCAGGTATTTTTGACGCACCTTTACCTCCTTTACACATAATTCCCGTATTATGGGTATCTCTTCTCGTTCAGCAGTGGATCCCCCTTTGACAATCACTGGTTTCCTTAAAGTAGGAGCAATGTCATCTTATCACACAGCGGCTTTAAACCATTGAACTTGCAAGCCGTTGGCTGTCTCCTCGTAGCCTCCTCTTCTCGGTTACGGCTCCTGCCCCCGCCAGATATTGGCTCTTAACCCCCTCGGGTCCTTACATTATTGAAGTGGCCCTCATTCACGGCAGTGTCTCCCGCAGCGTCACCACTCCCAGC